CTATCAGACAGTCCACGTTTTTGCTCCCTCTCAGCTTCCTATCAGACAGTCCACGTTTTTGCTCCCTCTCAGCTTCCTATCAGACAGTCCACGTTTTTGCTCCCTCTCAGCTTCCTATCAGACAGTCCACGTTTTTGCTCCCTCTCAGCTCCCTCTCTCTGCTATGCAGTCTGTGTTTCCTCCCGGGAGCTTGGATGGAGCAAAAAGGTGGATTTCTGTGGGTCCCACAAGGGCCAGGTTGGAAAACACTGATTTAGTAGGAAGTGCTTTTCTGCTTTGCTATTTGACTTCTCCCTCCAGCCTTCTCTGTTCGTTCCATAGTGATAGTTATTTGATAAGGACTGTCTATCTGTAGCTGGCAAAGTACATGCATTATATATATATATATATATATATATATATATGTGTATGTGTGTGTGTGTGTATATATATATATGTATATGTATATGTATATATATTTATATGTATATTTATATGTATATGTATATATATGTATATGTATATATAAAAAACAAAGATGGAAATTTTTGTGTCTCTATGTAAATGCACTGGACCAACTCTTGTTTACCATTCATGGAATACCAGCAAAACACTTGCACAAAGTTTTAAAAAGAATGTTAATAAAAAAACGGCAGCTGTTTTTAAATCATTATTAGGAATTGTAAAGAGGCAGAATGGTAAACAAGGCATTTCTGTTGAACCCTTAGCAGTCCTCTTGATTACCTTTGAACTAGTTTTATGTTGATGACAGGTCGCCTTGTGTCCTTTACACCTATGTATTTTCCTACTTATGGTTGACAATAAATTCTATATCTGTTCGTTTGTGTGCTGCCTTTCCTTTTCCAGCTTTGGGTTTGATGTGTGCCTGAATGAAGGGCCACCTGTAGTGTGGGAATAGTTTAATGTCACTCTTTTTGAGTTGGCTAAAACCTATAAAATATTAATATTCCTATTAACTGAAACAATTAGACGGTGTTGAATTTTATTCCAGATTTTTCTTCTCGTTGCTGTGACCAAGGATTGGTAACGGCTGCCTTTACTGGCTCACACGATGTTTGTGTTGTATCAAGAATTCCGGCGCATTTTGGGTTCAGCCACTAGATGGCGTTAAGTGACCGTACAGAGACACGGTGAGCCGCAAAGCCGCCTTACGAATCACTGCCCATGCAGTGTACAGCCGCCACTTCTGAAAAAGCTTCTTTAATATAAGCGACGACAAAAACTTTCCAAATTTATTAATAATACAATTATTTCACAGGATAATTTACCACAGAAGCACAAAATGTAAAGGCAGTGTGATTTGTTGTCCACAATGCCATTGGTATGATGGTCCTGCTCGGGTCAGAGACAAAGTGGTAAACGGTGTAAAGATGCGTCCTGTCATTCTAAGGCTGGAATTGTACAATGAGTGCAGGTGTCTTTCCGATACACGTCATAGGGATCCATGGCCGGTTCTAATCTGGTGGGAGTAGGTTGTGCAATTCTGCCTAAATCCTGTGGTCTGTTCTCATTTCGGTGCTGATTTTGATTCTCACCATTGTGCAATTGCTGCCCCAGAAATATTTTTTCCCTGTTAACGATGCAAATATGCATTGTTGCATTCTGGGAAAGATTGCACATGGAGCAGAATGACCGCATCGTTCTTAGGTGACCTGACTGTGAACTGTGAAGGCCAATGGCAGGCCTCGACAGACAGACCACCAAAGGGGGTTTAATGTACTTGGAGACGTCTGAAGAATCCCAGGAGAATCATCTCAAATTATGTTCATATAGAATAGAAATGTAATCTGGAATCTGTGCTCAATTTATGGGTTAATACTGGGAAGAATGGTACAGTATCTCTTATTGTGCGAAAACATCACTTTTTAGTCCGTGAAGATGAACTGCCATGATGCAAAGTGGGAGTTCAGTGCGGTTTAACTCTGGTGAGGTTAATCAGCTTGCGATCTGGTTCTTTTTCCACTGTGTTTTTTTTGGGGGGGGTTTATGGGATTTTTCTCTCTCCCACCCTGACATTCTAACACGCACAGCCCCTGCCGGCTCTCCTGACTGCTCGCAGGCTCGTCCTCGCTGTTGACGTGGCAGTGAGCAGCTGGGTGCTCATAAAATGATAGCAGATGTATGGCTCCTTCTCTCTCTCCCTCTCTCTCTCGCCCTCTCTCTTTCTTTCTTTCTTTCTCTCTCTCTCTCACTCACTCACTCACTCACTCACTCACTCACTTACTTCCTCCCTCCCAGACCTGACCCCTCTTGCCCTTCCGATCTCCTGGAGAACAACAGAGCCTGGTTGTCCTTCACCATCACCATGTCAACCTCCGGTTTGAGGAACGGTCGGTGGGAGTTGGGTCAGCTGACTATAATACATTTGTGATGTTTCAACCAGCATGTCTGTACCTGCGTTAGAGTGAAGGTACACTTTCTACCCCTCCAGTCACACCCTTCACTTGACCGAAACTGGGGCAACACGTTCCTGCTCCATGTGAAGAGCCGCTTCTCCCTATGGCAACAAAGCCACCCTCACAGGCTGCATGTGTGCGACTCTCCTTCCTTAGGCCGAAGTGCCTGGATATTCATTGATGTGAAATTCTGCTTTACTGCCGCTCAGCTAAAGCACAGCAGAGCCAGTCTTTAATCCTTGTGTTCCCATTTTCTCTACCTATAAGCAGGATGATGGTTAATTATGGGGACCTCTGGTGAGAATTCCTGCCCCTATTAGCCAAACTGTTACCCGAGTGAGATTTTTGTCTATGAGTAGGGTGGGGCGTTCCTTCCTCTTCAAGCTGGTGATGCTGCCCTAGGTGCCTTTGGACTTTGGAGAATTCGGTGTGGAAGGGTTAGGGAAGGTATCATCTGCTTTCTCGTCGTCACCTTGGCCAAGCTTGTGGCCCTGGGATCGAGTATAAACCAATTCAGCAGCTCCTCATCAGAATGTATATGTGTACACAAGTTCTGTATTTAAATATACATATATTTTTTGTTAAAGATCACAAATATTGAATTTTAGAGAGACAACAATAACAAATCCCATCTTTCTTTGGGCCTCCGATGGCACAGACAAAAGGTCCTTGTGCCTCTGACTTCATTGCAGATTTTTATGATCTGAGTGTATTGTCTTTGAGTAGAGAGACAGAACAGCCGGCATGTCTACATCAGCATAGCCATTAGATAAGGCCGTATCTGTCTTGACCTCGTTTAAATGTCTCCGGTTTTCTCAGCCTCTTGGTTTCAACACTCAGCTTCCTCTACAAGACGTTCACCCCAACTCATGCTAATGACCCAAAGTCATCGTAAAGAGTTTATGTTAGTTTATTTATTAGAGTTTATGAAGTAAGAAGAACTCTGATACCCAGAAATGGTAGCTATCAATTTGATGTAATGCTGGTGCTGTATTTTATTGCTTTTTGGTGGGGGGTGGGGGTCTTAAAACATGTTTATTTATCCGTTTTCCTTTTATGGGAGCTGTGGCACTTATTTGTAGCATATCCACAATTATCAACTTATGTGCTGAAAACCACAGATCGCACTACAGCGTAGACGCTGTTGGAAAGGCCCATGAACCCCTCCAGCAGTCTTGTGTCTGTGCTGCAGTGTGACACCACTGGTCCACAGACTTCCTACCGCCATCCCTCAGCTTTCTGAATCAGGATCTTTTCTGTCCACAATGTCTTCCTTTAGAGGCTTTCATTCTTTAAAGGGGCCATATTATACTTTTCTGTTTTTTTCTTTCCTTTAGTGTGTTATTTAGCTTTATGCTTACATGCCAAATGCAGTAACTCTCACCACAGAAACTACTCTTCTCTAATCTGCCTGAAACACCTTGTTGGAATTCCAGGCCTTACTTCTGTTACATGGTGATGTCACCTCATAACACAATCCTTATTGGCTGCATTCTTGCGAGGATCTGTCTGCAGACTGCAAGACAGAGGCAGAAGGTGTAGGGCAAGCTGACCATTCAGACATGTTAACCAATTAGACCTCACTGGGCCCATAGGGGGTGGGGCTTAAAACTCTAACAGAATTTTTCAGTTATAAATAGTTAATAGAGATGTACGGTATGAGAAAATAATGTGTTTTGGAACACTGAAGCATGTAAATCTAGTTTGTAGACCCCCAAAATAAAAATATGCATAAAAATTATGCATAAAAATAAATATGTAAAAATAATACAATGAA